ACACCAGTTTAGGATATCTTTGCTCAAAAACAGAACATACAGCTCCAGTGCGCAGGGACTTTAGCATCTTTTGACAGCTCACACTGGGAATTCATACTAATGTCTGAAGGCAGGAAGATCTGGTCTCTGCCTTTTGCTTGAAATTGTTTGGTGATGCTTTCCACTGCAGAGAATTTAACTACTTAAGTTGTCATCAGTGGACAGTTCATCTCTCTGTATTTGGAACACAGTTTGCCTTAGCACTCTCAGGCAAAGCTAAGCCTTTCTGCTTTGATGACGAGTTCCTGAGACAGAATCTACCTGCTGCCTTTATTGCTCAAGCATAAATTGCCTATGGTTAAATACTCGATCATTTAAGGTAGCAGTGGCTCTTGGAGTTAGTGTAAGAAGTAGCATACTGGTAATATACCGACTGAGTTCAGATGTATCTAAAAAGGACTGGTTAAACTAGGGCAGTATGATTTTAATCACTACCACTTGAATTCCAGCAGTTTATTACTTGGATCAAATAACATTGATTTGTAACTATTGTTATTGAATTTATTAATTTTAACTAGAAATTATCAAATACTAACCTGTCCTTGAGTGTTATGTTTTCCCTTTTATAATAAAAACAGGTATGTTCTTTTGTGGGTGGCTGGGGTGGGGAAGGGAGGAGGGCAAGAAATGCCTTATATGATTTTAAAGTTATTTCTTTTTACATTTTTATTTCAAAATGGTCATATCTTCTGTATTCAACTTCATCACAGGAAGAAAGCAACAGATTAGGAAAAAACGTAAATGCGTAAGAACAACTTTAACCTAAATAACAATTATTAATACAAAAAGACCGTCCCCAGAATGTTGTTGAAAATCCTACTAAAGGAACCAGTTTTTAAACAAAATGTGGTATTTAATACATAGAGATACAGAGGACATTTAAAGTAACACAAGTAAAGAATAGTAAAATTATTATTATATCTTTACTTTCTCCTTGGTTTCTAGAAATTCAAATAGTGAGATGGCTTTGCTGGAGGGTATGGTTCCAACCTTCATTTGTGCCTGCCAACATCTGGCATGTTCAGATACTTATACTCACATTTCAGCTGTCGTAGAACCTATTTATCATTTTAACAGAATATGAACCCTTTAAACTCCATGCAGCCAAGGGGTGAAGGAGTTGTGGGGTTCTTTTAGTATATTCCTGAAAATAGTTTGTGCCGCTTTCAAAATGCATAGCATGAAGTTTGCACCCCTATCAAAAAATCACTTGTGAATCTGCAAAGAAGACTCAGAGGACTAGTAGTATTTCCTTAGAACATAAACATATTTTTACATCCTGATTAATTTGAACTGGAAGTTTGCATTTCATATACAAGATCCATGTATTTTTTTCTTCCTGTAAGTTGATACTTTTCAGCAGGATGTACAGTCTCTGGGTCTAGATTTGCAAAGTGTTCCTGTGAGCAAACACTTTCCGTCTTGGAAGACCTCTTTCTGGGGCCAATGAATATGCACATGACCACAGAGATTGTGGTCTGAACTTGTGGTCCACAGGCCAGAGCCCTGTGTCTCTAGAGCAGAAGAAGGTGTGATATAAGTCTGTGATGATAGCTTTTCTAGCAAAGACATTTCTCAAATTGTTAGAAAAATACTTTATACATAGCGTTGTGGGTGCTGTAGCACTTCTCTTGCTCTTTTTAAGTGGCTTATCCAGTTCAGATCGGCACTGTAAGCATGATATCAGTAACCTTTGCTGAAATGATGCTTGAGGACTATGAGCTTTTGAGTTCTCTTCTCAGTGTTCAGTTAATGCTGACAAATAGGAAAAGTAATCTTTTTCCCCAAGTGTCAAGAGGGTGGGAAGTTGCTGTTGGTAGGGGCAGCAGCAGGGGCACAGCACAGGCAGCTGGTGCAGAAGGAGCAGTTCTCACACACTCCCTGTTTCTCTCACACAAATGTCATCAGCTGGTGGTAGGAGCAGCAGCAGCAAGATCACAGGGGTGTATCTCGCATGATTCACTGGGGTCCTGAGTTTGTAAACATATTAAAAAGAACAGATACGATTTCTGAAAGGAAGTAATCTCTAGGGTTTAATGCCCTGCAAGACAAGACTCCTTTTCTTTTGGAATTTTCCATTTCTCTTCATGACGTCTTAATATTGCAGACGCCAAGCTGTTGTGAGCATTCCCATGGCAAAGCAAGGCCGTGGTTTGCCAAGTGCACAGCCTCATTGTTACAGACTCACTCTGCTTTCATTTTCTTTGGTTTTTATTGCCAGACATGGAAAATAGAAATTACCCATTAGTGAATGTATTTCCTGTTCTATTAAAATAAAGAAATTACTGTTGATAGTTCTTGCCTTGGTCTTGCCAATATTGATTTCCATTAAAAATACAAGCCTTACCTGATACCCACCACACACAAACACACACATACACACCCTACTCTACAATACTGTAGTGCTTTAGGAAAGTTCTGGATTGATATCCTTAGACAATAAAGTCTTCTACCTGTAAAACCTGTCACCATCAACATTGTCTTTCTTAACCAATATGTTTGAAGTGTAACTGAAAAGAGCACAGCTAGGGTTTTGTTGGTGGCTCAGATTTCATACTCACTTAGACAGAAGTAACAGCATCGATGCCAGTATTACATTGATCTCCATTTTGAGACAGCACTCAAAGTACTCTTCTGTATTTTACTTTTTTGTGCATCACCATCAAATGCAAATTTTTTCAGATTCTTACCTGGACATTTGTTCTGCAAATATGTATGCATTTGGTTTGTGTTAACTTGAATGGCATCACCAAAGAAAGTTGGGTTAATCACATTTCTGTTGGGTTTATGTTTAGAGTTTTCAGAATAAAATAAATATATAAAAGCTTTATTGCAATATTTATGGCCCAGATGGCATCCAGCATCCACAGGTAGTATTAGTAATCTGTTATAGCAGCTGTTTTATATCCTTGATACCAGTAGGATTAAAAGGGACAGTAAAAGCATCTTACAGAAAGGTATGAACTTATATAGTGCACATCCACTAAATTAATAGATGGGAAATTGCTTGCTGCAGGTGACAGCTTTTACTCTTTCATTTTCCTTAATACTTGTTTTCATTATTCTTCATGAACGTTTGCTTTCAGCAATTGAATCTTTTGACATCATCAGTACCAATAATTCAGTGATAGGAGATACCAATTCATATGACTGTGCATTTCAGTCTGGTTTTGTACTGACCTATAATAAAGAGACTACTGGTGACATAAATCATATTGATATAAATTTGGCCAAGTTTGATTCAGCTGGCTGGTGTGCTACCGTCACTCTGGACCTCTACTGCTAATTGTAGCTTACCATGTAGTCCCTTTTCCTTGTAGCATAAGAGCAAACCACTTGTCAGAATGCTCTGAAGTGTTTTATTGAAGTTACTAAAGTTCAGTTTGTTGTTGCATTGAGAACAAGATGCGGGTATATAAAATCTGAAGGAATTCCTGGAATTCTGAGGATTCCCAGCAGTTCCTTCTCTTTGTACTTCCTGCTCATAAAGTCTTTGTGATCACAAACCAAGCAGATTCAATTTTAAAGCTTGCAATGATGTGGACTCTCTTCCTTATCAGATGTTAGAGTTTGATAAAGTGATCAGAAACAATGTGGTAAATGCAATGTAAGAATCTCTCAGCTGCAACGTGGTAACTGACTGTGTGCAGTCTTGCAGTCTAGTTTAGTACAAATAATACTGGTTCACTTAAACCACATTCCTCTTTCAAGTACCTTTTAGCATTGTTAGACATTTTGCAAACCTCTGCTTTACTTGCCAGAGCAATAGAGTTATGAGTGTGCATGTAGTTATTAGTCTCAGCTGGCAAAATGATAGCTTACATCTGGAGGCAATAGCTTCCTGAAACTCAGTGGCCTGCTCCCGTTCTGAAAATACTTACATTTTAAAGGGAGGGTATAAGAGAGTCTCCCTTACTCAAGTATGAAGTGTAACAGTCAGAAAAAGATGGACCTTTCATTTTCTAAATCACTGCTCAAATTCTAGTGGGAGGTGTCCCTGCCCACAGCAGGGGACTCGGAACTAGATGATCTTTAAGGTCCTTTCCAATCCAAACCATTCTACAATTCTGCCCTTTTCCATTTCTGGTATAATTTATACTGTAAGGACACAACAGCTGCCATTAATTACAGTATTGATGGCCACACTATTATGAATCTCTTCTGGTCCTGACAGACTGCTTCAGTACAGACTGTGAAAAAGGCATTGCTCACTGAGGAGCTTTGTACTGTTTGCACAATACTTAAAATCACAGTTTTGCCCATATTAGATTCAAAGCTTTTGTATTTTGCTATGCTCTGCCATAGCAGGCTGTTAAATTCACCCATCAAGTTTACTTTTACTGTGAGTTTTACTTGTCTTATTGAATTTCTCATTTTGCATTTTCTAGATGCTGTCATACCATTGCAGTATTTCTTCTGGAAAAATCCATGCTGAAATAATTTGACTTTTAGACTACAGTCAGAGGAAATTTTAGAGTTTTTAAAATAAAAATGTGGATACAATAAACTTTGTTCTGTCAAATCCTATAATTTAAATGATCTCTAAATGCTGTAGCATTTCCGGGGTAATCAAACTTTGGAAGGTCAACGGATGACTGTACGCATCAATTTATACTCCCAGTTCGTGCTTTACATTCCACTAACAGAATTTTTTCTGGAGAACTGCTGATGCTTGAAAAATACAATGGAGAATAGCCATTTATTTTGTCTTCCCATTTTCATTTTGAATGTACCTGTCTCAAAAACTTGAGTGAGATGCTGTACTTGTTAAACTTCACTTATTGAATAAAACTAGATCCAGAATCCTTTGACCAATTCTGCTGTGCAAGAGAGGACCATCTTTTTCACAACTTTGGGGCAGTTTATCATTTTCTCTGCTGTTCTTATGGTTAGATGTGATGATAAGATTGCTCACATTCCTGATTTGTGAGGCCTATCTTTTTGTATGTGTGTTGTTACAGCTTGCAGAAGTAGACTCCAGAGCTGTACATCTTGGCGCTGTCTTGGTTCGTGGCCTTACAACGTTGCTCATGGCCAATAGTGCCTGTGGCCATCCATTCAGAATGGATGATTTGATGCCTTGGGCAGTGTTTGATGGAAAACTTTTTCAAGAAAAATACCAGCAGTCGCACCGAGGTTGCTCTATGGAAGAGCTTTTGGAAGGCAATGTAAGTAATCACATCCTCTTAGACATTTCTGTATTCTTTGAAAAAATGCACCTGTCCATTTACTTTGTTGTTTTAATATTCGTGTTTATACTGTTCCCCTTTCTTTGTATTTTTCTTCTCTCTCTCATTCCTTTTTCACACTCTCCGCAAAAAATAATTTTAAAAAAAAATAGAAATACTGAGCCTATGAAGAAACCTTTAATTTACCTTTTTTTTTGGTTTCCATTACGCAGAAGGTAATATAAGGAAAATGGTTGTCAATTTCAAAAAATGAAAATGCCCATAATGGTTTCCTAGTACTGAGATATTATTAAGATCTTTTTCCTGTAAGATTTTAGGCAACGTATTAAGAACATCTTTAAATAGGTGCACTGGATATAATTTTTAAAGTATTTAAGAGTGATATTTTTACAGGTATTAAGGAACATAAAGTTTGAGGTGAAGGTTTGGTAAATTCAGAGGAACTGTAAATCAGAAGAAGCTGTGTATTTAGGTAATTTTTTAAACTCTCACCAAGAACCTTCCTGTACCTCTAAGTACTTTAGTTCTCAGTCCCACTTTATCTTACAAATCTGGGGATTTGTAAGATTTACATGCAATGTTACCAAAAAACTGATGTGACTTCAAACATGTCTGGGCAGCAAGGTACCATCAGAGTCCTGCCCAACACAATGCATTGCAGTGGCGTCATGTCCAGGCTCAGAGGTAGGGTCTGCTAGATTGGGTGCGAGACTGTACTGATGCATGAGTGAAGCCTCAAACCAGCCCTGGCTTGTGCCCCATTAGCACAGAATTTGTGGAGAGATTCTGGATAGGTCTATACTCATCGGTGAAGGTAGCTTCAATTAATGTGTGTCTTTTCATTGCGGACCTGAAAAGTCTGTATCATTTAATTACTTTTGAAAATCTTACCTTTTAAATGTTTTTATCTGCTATTGAATGTATCACTTGAGGTTAAAATAATTAGAGAGAAAAAAATATTTCAGTTTTAATTTATTTTAATCTTGTGCATTCAGTGCCAGTTGTTGTATAGTTTTCTTTTATAATTTTGTGTCCAATTACATACCGTGCTGGTCTGGAGTGATGAGTGGAACACTTGTGGGTGTGTGGAATGAATGTGTTTTTAGCATGAAGGAGGAGAATAATCCTTTCCATATGTGTTCAATCATATGATTAGGACCATAACTTCTATCCAAATCCTGTGGTTCCCATTAATTGTTTGGTTGATTTCAGTAGATTTTGGATTGGGACAATGGTTCATCCAGTTTTTCATGCAAGACTTTTGCAGAACAATAGATGGTTTAGAGAATAGATAGGAAAATATATAAAGTATCCAGATCTGTGTGAAATTGATACTTCAGGTTAGTGGATAATTTTGACAATGTATATCTAAATCTGTACAAGATTTACGTTAATTGAGATCAGTATTTTTAAATGTGTTAGGTTGTGGGTTTTAGCTAACATTTGAAAATTTTGGTGTGGTAAGGTTTGAGATATATTTTATCCTGTTTTATAACAAAGATGAAGGAAGATGATTACTTCCCTAGAACAGAGTTAGAAATATGCTTGATCAACTAAAATATCTAGGTTAGGGTTTTTAAAAGCCTGATGCTCTGTTTTACCCAAAACCCAGATAAAGTGTTCTGTTGGGAGGAAAAGATACTCTAGGCATGTGAATTTTTAGAGTAGTTTAAATATAATTTTCTTTTCTAGGTATGATTTTATGGTACATATATGGCAGAGATATGTACCCAGACTAATAAAATAGCTTTCCAGCTTATCAGTCTGAAGCAAGAATCTGTTTTGAGGAGAATTGCCAAGAGATGCCAGTTTAGCTGGGGACACTGGCAAGGCAGCAAGCTTATGTGATTGGTTTTTCCTATTAAGTTCAGCTTTAATGAATAGAAATGGTACTTATTTCCTGGCAGAGCTTAATGTACTGCTGGAAGCCAGGATCTTTCAGCAACTTGTTTGTTAACAATCTTGAGCACCATAAATATAATCTGGTGGTAGTGATAGCATTGTATTCAGAAAAGAAGTTATTCTACATGGGATGTTTTGTTACAGAATATATAAATAGTAGGAAAAAGTTATTCGTTTTGTTGTTCAGTGCTTGTCTCCTAACTCCTAAGGTCCCTTCTCTATGATCTGGACAGTTACATTACTTTGGGAACTTCAGGCAATCACAGAATAAGTGCTGGATTTGGGGCTTAAAAACTGTTAATAGCTTTCTGAGAATTACAGTAGAAATACAAATATTTATATATATATTCAAAATTTTGAACATTTTAGGGTTTGCTTCCTGCATATTCTTGTACCCAAAGAAGATAGTGTATACATTAAATACAGTTGATATACTTGTGGGCAAGTTTTTCTGTGACTCAGTTCTTTGTAACCTAGCAGCTGTTAAAGATAAAAAATGGACAGCTTTGGATAAGAATAAAAAAGTAGAGCCATCTTGCTTTTTTTTGAAGTATGCTTAGATCACATTATGCTAGTTCTCTGTTTTTCAAAACAGTAATCATATTAGTTTCTTTATCCACACAGAAAATTGGATATAATAGTCTCATAAAGCAGTGAGGCAATGATATTATCACTTTATTAGCCTTTTTATTGTGCTTCTCACTAATGAGTATGTTTATAATCAAGTTTTTAAAATTAAAGCCAAATTACATAATGGGGTCAGCATAAGTGATATGTTTTGTTCTTTTCTGATCATGCCTTTCATCCAACCTTCATAAACACATTCTGAATTTGTTCTCCCAAGAATAAAATGAAAGGTTTTTCCCATTAGAGGGTGTTCTTCACAGACTGGAATCAGCTTGTGTGGTAAAAAAAAAAAGAAAACCAAGAAGACCTGCGAGTTTTGTTTAAGACTCTATAAAGAAGTTTGTTAACTCAAAAAATGTAATTGGGAAGTTCGCAGCAGGGTTCAGGGATTCAGACTCTACCTCTAATTTAAGAAATCTCCCTAGTTGCTGCAGTCTTGCTATCTATTGAATTTTTACCTTTCACATCATCTTCTTCCCTCCTGCCTGCTCCTAAAAAAGGCATTGTTCTCCTGTAAAAATCTGTTCAGATTTATGAAAATCACAAATTATCCTATCACTCTAAAATCTCTCTTTTCATAATTCTCTTTATTGTGTACTAAAATCCCACATGCCCAGTACAAATCAGGAGAAAAGAAATACATTCTGAGACATGTCGCTTCTTCAAAGCTCGTAGAAATCAGAGCAAGTTAAGGATATATCACATCTCTCAGTGTTGCATCTTTAAATAGCTTCAGCTTTTCTTTTTGACAGTAAAATTCTTCATCACGACAAGGTAAACATTTTTATTTAATTCCTCCATTTCTCTTTAGACTTCATTCTATTTTATCAGTCACGAGTTGGGGCTGATGTATTACTGTTGGGTTAAGTTTTGTTTCTAATATATGAGATTAGGAGACACTGATTTTAACTGGTGTGTTTTCCATGAGTTTATCAGTCCTTATCCAGAGGCTTTAACCATCTCTACCTGAGGTATTGCTGATAGAAGTCTAATTAAGTATATCTACAGGTATAAGGTAATAGAATAGGAAGACAAGTGATTTAGAGATATGAGCAGAGAAGAAAAACAAACTTTGCTGAGAACATGGGAAAACACTTCTTCTGCACCCCTACTCATCCCTCCAAATATCCACTTTTAATATTAAATGTTTGAAATTCACTTCCTGAAAAAATGTGAATCAGATCTACCACCTTCATGTGTGCATGAGTGTGGCTAAGACAAGTCTTTTAGTTCTTGGGTATGTGTTTGATTTGTGCTACACTTGAAGAAAGATGAGCAAAACAGTCACTGATTTTTAACCCTGTTGTTTGCAGGAGTCTTTGTATACACCCTTCCAGAATCTGAAGTCTTTCATTTGCAAGGTTTGCATGGCAAAGAAAAGAATGATACAGAGCAGACCAAGAGGGAATGGATTTAACACAGGTTGGCATTGTGTTTATTTTCTCAGTAAAATTAATATATCAATGAGTTCAGTTATCCTTAAACAGCACTGACAATTACATAGGCATCCCATCAAGCTAAGTAAATTGTAAGGTCTTTCTCCAAAGGAGACATCTTTAAAAATATTTCCCTTTTTAGCAATTCATGTGAATATGATTAACCAACTTTACATAGAATAATATTTCCATCTAGCTACATGCAATTAATATCATTCATTGACAGAAAAATCACTATTTACTCTGAGACTAAAGTTATTTTTATAGGAGGCATTAGATGACTCAGACCTTTTTCTCCCATTCCCTCAGGGGACCTATTTTACCACTGATAGTTGAAGGTCTGAGTGAGGAAATGAAGAGAGAATATTTTTTATTAGACTCAGTGATATGGTTCAAACTATAAGAAAGCTTTTGGGCAGCCTGGGGAACTGTGCTATTTAATTTACAACCTTGCTTCTTCCCCCCAGCTTTATGGCATGGTTTGCTAAAGACATTTGCTTTCCCTATGTGATCTACCTGACTTTCAGTGGAAAAAAACTATCTAAAAGGTTTTTAGCATCAATCACAGATTAGCCTGAATGTTGAGGCTTTTGAGATTTCAGAATAACCCCAAATCTCAGTGTTTATGCTCATATTATGTTTATTACTTGCTTAATAATCAATTATCAATCAATTATAATGTCTGTGAGGGTAAAAATCACCCCTTAAGAATTCCTTGAGCAAATTACACCGGACAGAATGTTTTTCTGCTAGTTCAGTACTTTGTATGAAGTGATAAGAATACTTCTGATGTGGTACTACACCGTGCTGGTGCTGGACTTTAAAAATTAAGGATATCTGTTGGTGATTTATAGTACCAGACCTTGTTAGCATCTGCTTTTCTTTGAGAACTATACTTAACCATTTTAATTATGATTTGTGATTCCAATTTGGGCAGAGATTTCTGTTTGGTTTAATGACTGCAGTCTCCAAATCTGTGTCATAAAATTTTGATCTGGTTTCTAAATACACTTGTTAACAGCTTGTAATCATGATGAGCATAGATGGAAATGAGGACAAGGACCACACTTATTAGGCTGACTTTAGTTTGGAAAAATTGTAATTGTGCATGAGTGTTTTGGCGTAAAACTAAGAAATATTGTTTCCTGAAAAATATTGTTTCTTCATTTAATCCTACATACTGTCACAGTTGCTTAGTAAATACTGTTTTTCAGGAAGAGAACAAAGAGATTTTAATCCCAGATTCCAACAACCACGCAGAAGTCATTTTGTTTCTCCATATCATAACCAGATGAGGGGGTTTGTACAGAGAAATCCTCAACCACAAGGTAAAAAATGTGTGCACATATGTGTTTTTGGAATTTTCTCTATCAACAATATAAAAGCTATATGCTGTTACCCTGTGGCTACAGCAGTCAGTAACAAAACTTGCATCATAGTTGTTACTACTATCAGGAAAATCTAACTGCAGGGTGAGGTAGAATGTAGCATTATAATCTCTAGTCATCTTTTACTCACAGTGTTCTGGGAAAAAAGCTTTTATGTGGTATTTATAATTTTCGTGCTCAGTCTCAGCTGAACTGTGTTTCAAATTGTAATAGTTCTAAAGCAAATTGGCACAGCTGCACAGAAATGTCTGTCTGAAGTCTTTAGCTGCAGATTTTTGTTCATACTTCAACAAAACACTTAAGCATTTGAATAAAGTTAAACACATTCTTAAGTGCTTTTCTAGGTCAGGGTCTCAGCTTCCAAGTCACTCCCTGAGTGAAACAAATGCATGTTCTGTCTTGCCTTGGCATTAATCTTAAGTCATTCACCAGTCTCACTTCTTGAACAGACATTTCAATGAAGCATCACTGTGGATAGCACTGTTGGGCTGACATAATTCAGTTCTACATCCTCGTTACTGTGAGTTGAAGCACATACACATAGATTAAAGAAAATCAACAAAATGAAGTGTCCAAGAAACATCAATTGTTTTATTAAGTATACAGAGCCTGAATTTCTTTTGTGTTTCCAGGTGAGGTTTTCAAAGAAGATTGATGATGTGATTAGGGAAGATAAATAATAAATAAATTCAGTGAAGTCTTTAATGTGTTTCAGCTGCCACTTTTGAGTATTTGCGAGTAAGATGCTACCATTTGATTCACAAATAAGATTGTTCAGTCCTATATGTAAAATGTAAAGCTAAAGTATAGAGTATGTATGCTGACTATAAGCAAAACAAAAACTGGTCATTGTTATGAGTTCTTGATCATCTCAAGAAACTCTCTAATATTCAGAGGTCAGATCATCTCTGACCAGCTCCAGAGATCTTATGACTAGATGGATTCCACAAAGTATGTTCCACAGTAACTGTGCTGCTGTGTTATAAATGTCTTTCAGAAGCATTATTAAAACATCATGGCTTCTTCGACACTAGCCCTATTTCTCACCCTCAGGACGCTCTTAAAACATGATCCTATAACTGAAGTTAAATTGCCTCTGTTAGAAGTTAAACAGATTTATTGGAAAAATACATCTGCCCTTACAGAAGAGCCCTGCAATGCTTTAGAGCTCCTTTTAAACTGATCTGCCAACATGACTCATTTTGACAAAATTCCTTTTTCCTAAGTGGGCTAATATTAGCACAGGTATTTGGGTTGTTTCTTTATGTAGCTGATGTCTCTGCTGTATGTGTCTCACCAACGAGAGAGAAAAAAGAACAAAAAAGTAGCCATTTTGTGTTCATGGTAGCTTATGTTATAAAACTTCCTACTAATACTACTGATACCTGCATCTCCCACTCTTTATGTACCTTCCCATGGTAAACTGTTATATAGTTCCTACTGTTGCATATGATATATCAGTCATTGGATTAAATGCATTAGAAAGTAATGGAACAGTAACCACAGGATACATATCTTCTGTGTCAGGAGAATAATGATGATTAGGCAGCCTTTGCTCTCTCTGGTCAGTTAATGTTTAAGAATTCTATGACTGTCTCAACTTCACCAGTAGAGGAAAGAGTGCCTTTACAAGAGAGCATCAACCTGAGAAGCACTGGTATTTCTCTGAGATGATGGCTTGAATCCCCTCAGGCAGAACAAGAATTGGATTTAGGCATCCCTCATTGTATGGTGGATAGAAAACATTGAGCTGCTGTGATTTACAGCTCATCCTCTAGCTGTATTTTGAATGTAGGGAATTCAGCTGGGGGGGCCTGGTTTTCAGGAGGGTTGGGGTTTTTTTGGTTTGGTTCCATTTTAGTCATTTAGCTTCTCTCTGTAAATTTCTTGGCTGGGTGTTACAAAGGGGTAAGAGCACATCCGTGTAATTCAGAGCAGGACAACTAAGCCTCACAGGGAGGTAGATTTTCCCTTAGTATTTCTGGTTTGATAATTTATGGATTCTAGCCTTGTGGCTGCAACGCCACACCACAGGCTATGTAGCCTATTGGTAGATAAACTTCAATAACTAGAAGACCACTATTTTGCATTACATTGTTATCTCATTCTACAAAAACCTAAAAATAAACTGAGCATTAAGAACTGTGTATATCACTGTGAATTACCATGTGTCTTTGTCGCTCTCTTCAGCAGTCCAGTTGTTAAACACTGATATTTTGTGTCATAGAATATAAATTACCACTCAGATCTGAATCAGCATACAAAATATAGCAAAAAACTAAATAAGTAAATGTAACCTTATCTGTACTTTTATGGCTATATTTTAAAATTTGTGTGATGTGTACAATGGTTCCCACACTAGTATTTTGAAATCTGCCTGAAAAGTGAACTGGAGATAGGGGAGAGAGTGTCTATGTAGCTGAAACAGCTACATGAATGGTTAAAATCAAGGATACCCTAATATTTTAGAAATAGTGAAAGATGTTGGAAATTATATAGAATTTCTGCCAGTGATAAGATAAACATCATAACTCTGTATGATTGGCTCAGGGGAGGGATCATAATGAGTAAGAGCTCGCAGAGCGCTAGAAGTAATGGTTGATAATTGTAGCTACCAGTCATCTACCACCAGAATCATAAACAGTGAGATGGGAACACCATGAAGCATTCTGACAATTTCATTCTTGCATTTAGATCTTGTTGGATTTTAGGGGTCAACTGTATTGTGCCTAAGAAAACTATGTTCTTTAAAAAAAAATGTTTTGTTTCCTTGTTTCCATCCATCTTTGCTGTATTTTTCTTCCATCTTTCTCTTAAAAAAAAAAAAAAAAGGAAAAAAGAAAAGTTGGGTAGAAAAGAATTGGGCAGCTTTTTGGTTTTTAAATAATTGAACTTAGAAATCACTTGCAAAAGTAGTTTATTTAAAACAACAACAACAACAAACACCAAAACCAAAACAAGGTCTTGGAGAAAAGCTTTTATGGAGCATTGAAAGCAGTTTTTGGGAGAAACAGAAGATGAGTGTCAAGGAAAGAGGGGAAAAAATTATTGGAGATGTGTCTCACTGTGTCCAAGGCAAAAAGGAATTACTTCCATTTCTTCACAGAATGTAATTTCATCAAGAGGGTACATTCACTTCAGTCTTAGCACACTGTAAAACATGTAACATAAGACAATGCAAGCAAGCCCTCATTTGTGAGGTATTTAGTCGAGGCTTCCACACTTGTGTTGCATACTCTGTGTTCAATCATGTTTCTGATTAATAGGATTTTTATAGAGCTGTAATGCAGATGGGACTTGGTAGAACTTCAGTGCTGAAAAAAAAAGATGTAATTTACAATGTGAGTACTATTTTGCTTATGGGAATCTATAACTAAAGCAGTATTGTACGCGGGCACACTTTAACCAATATGAAAATATCTTTAAATATAGCTTATGATGTCTGGTTCTAAATAATGTATTTTTCTTTCCTGAATTCAAACAGTCTTATCTACCAGCCACAGTGTATGACTCACTATCCCAACCCATTAATTGGTCTAGATTTAAAAGTTACAGTCACCCAAGAGTTTTAAGAAAAGCAGTGACACCATGGACTTCATCCTCCAACATCTCAAAATTTTAGACATAATTATACACCAACTGGACAGCGACAAGTACTTTTTTCAAGATATGTATAAATGTAATTTTTCTTGAGGGCTACCTGAATAAGCTCTTGTTTTCCTCCTTTAATGTTCACTGAAAGTGTTTAATTCCTCTCCTCCTTTCTCCAGGTGGGAGACCCTGTGGTGGATTGGGACACCCAGACCGGAGGAGATTTCACCTTCCTCCTCGGTAAAGAATACATGTCTACAGGAGGCAAACTGAGATGATGGGATAATTACCTTTGAGATCATTTTTATTCATGAGAGCTTCTTTATGTAAACTTTGTACAAATAACTGAACCACTTAACTGTGGAGGAAATCACTCAAAGTTGAGGCTGTTCACCTTGATAATCACTTGTCATGTTAGGTCTCTTGTTTCGAGACCAGAATCACTAAAACTTAAGTTACAGGTACCTGAGGCACAATAACATCTCAGTACAGCTGCATGGTTGTGTCCATTTGACAACAGAAAGTCTGAAGTGTTTTTTATAAGTAAATTTACAAGTGTTTTTTAAAGTAAATTTAGGACTTACTTAAACTATGTTTTTGAATATTTTTGTTATAGTTGTTTATATTACAAGACTTTCCCCGCTGTGAGTAATGTATCATGTTCATGCTGTATGTCGTTTGTGTCGTAATTGTGGTTATATCCGTATCTTAAGGGTTATACCATTGTTATTGAAACCTGTAGAAAAGTTTGAAACATGCCATCACTGATGTAGACATTGTCTGCCTGTGAAACAGTATCATCTTTTTGTAAAATGTAACACTTTCTTACAAGACAGAAACATTGCTATTGCATTTGGTGCTTCCAGTTAAGCGACTTTTTCTATCTTTGCCAACTGAAGAGAGAAAGAATCTGTCATGCTTTACTTCTGTAATGAATAATACTTATGAGAACTCAGTATTTATTTTCTGTCTAGAATTCTTATTCAAACACCTATCTTCAGAATTATTTCATAAAAATTTATATATTTCACTTTGTGACTCAATTTCAGTGATATATGTATTTCTTTAAAATTAAAAATTAATTAATTTTAAATAGTATTAAAATTAATTAAACAGAGTATAAACAGTACTAAAAAATGTAAAATAACAAAGCTTGTGCAATTTTTAACAACACATAAGATCATGGAAAGCATGTGACACACTTAGAACTGTGTTTATTTTTTTACTGATCTGCATCTCAACTGAAGTGTATCCATCTACACAGACTTCAACAATTTCATGCCTTTCTTAGATTTGTAGCAAACTTTGAACAGAGTTGGTTCAAGTCGATGTTTATGGAACTGTTGGGTTTTCGTCTGTGTATGTGCTTCGGAATCACAGTATCTTTAGTTTTGTACTTCAGCATTTTCAGTACAGTCTTCTCGGTGGTGCCAAGCAATAGGACAAGAGACAATGGGCAGAAACTGATGCACAGGAAATTCTACCTGAATATGAGGAAGAACTTCCTTACTGTGCAGGTGACCAAGCGCTGGAACAGATTGTCCAGGGAGGTTGGGGAGTATCCATCACAAAATATTCAAGAATCATGTGGATGGAATCCCCTACAATGTATTCTAGGACAACCTTGTCTGAGCAGAGGTTGGACCAAATGACCCGCTGTGGTCCCTTCCAACCTGACCCATTCTGTGATTATGTGATTATTCACTTAATGTTGTTTCTTGGGCCTTGTGCAGGTAACTTCATGTTTCAGTGGAACTTAGTTCCTATTTAGGATACATATTAGGTCCAAATGAATAGTATTGTCAGACAAACCTAACTCCGTGCTTTGATTTCCTTGCATGTATTTTTCTGTTTGTAATCAAATAAATATATTATTTTGTACTCAGCATACAGCAACAATCCAACTAAACAAATAAGCAGTACAAGATTTCTAGTTATATTAAAAGTATTAACAGACACGATTTTTACACAACACCATGTCTTGATTTGTGTTCCAGGGATCCTGTCATGATGGGGTATTCCTGCTTCCTTTTTTGATTGATTTTTCACTGACTGTAATTTTACTACCATTTTTTTCTTCACCCACTCTCCCCCCTCTCCCCTGAACCTTTTGGAATAATGTGGTCTGAGTTTTATGGAAAGTTCTCTAGTTTCAGGGATCTCATGATGTATAATGGTGTGTTTGAAAAGAATGTGATTGTGTGCCAGAATTTGTTGGTAATTCCCCCTTCAGGATTTGATATGAGAAAAGATTTCTGTTGGCCTCAATAAACAAAGTTAAATACAGCTAGAGTGGGAGTTTTGCTGTGCTAGCTGTGGTATGCTATGAATTGTTGGTAATAATTACCCTGACTACTGAAGAATTGATAGTGTCTCTGTGAGGGTTTTTTCCTTCCTAGTGTTAGACCATAAGCAGAAGCTGCTTATTATTATTTCCAAGCCAAAATATTTTTTCCCCACCAGGAACTGTGGAGTGAAAGCATAAAGAGGAAGTCGAAACATAGAGGTGCTACTTTCCTATCTCACTGAACTTTGAATTGTTCAGAGTACCAGAAAGCTTATGGACTCTAGAAGGAAATCATAGACAAGAATATGACCTTAAAGATTCCAGTCCAATAGGATTTCCTTAAATGTGGACTACAGGGTTGTTTTGAATGGTTACAGGACAGAGGAAAAACAGATGTGGATTTGAAGCGAAGGAATATGTGTTTGTGAAGAAAAGCATTTTTGTTCAGCTGTACTGCTTGCAATCTTCCCTAGCCTATGCACTGGGTAGCTGTCATCCAGTGTTCACTGAAACTGTGGATTGATTTGTTAGCTTTATGCATTCCCCTTCAGGAAAGAGAATCAGAGAGTATTCTGTAACATCAATAACTTAGTCAACTGTAACTCAGCAGAAATTTTAACATAGTCATTGTGAGAGAAAGAATGACAGGAAGACATTTATCACCTTTTCTCTTTTTATGTGTTATGGATCCTTCCTCTTACATTACTTTACTCATTTCTGACACCATTCCACTGGGAATCTGAATATGGACTGCAGAAAACATGGAAACACTGAGTTAATCCTATGATGCTGTGGGACTGTAAGCATCAAAACATAGTTTATGCCTCTTTTATAAAACAGGAAACCACAGTTTTAATTGCTTCGCTACCTTAGCAAGCATTGTGCTGAGATGGAGGGGAACAGCAGTGTTAAAGCTCTACAGATCTTTTTGTGATCTGCTTGTCTGAGCAAAATTATAAGAGTAGTCAAACATATGGTATTATTTTGTAAAGGTGTTCTTTATTTAAATGTTGGAGAAGAAGATCAGAAGTTTACATATTCATATTTAAACATTGACTCCATCTTTGTCAGCTAAGCTGGGAGGTGGGCTGGTATATGTCCTTCACTAGGAGGTTTGATGGGATGTTCCTCAGCGGTGCAGAGCTTCCTAAGAGAATATCTTTTGGTGATACAGAAGCATGGTCAGCCCAGTAAATAAGCAGAAACGTTTGGCATGTTTATGCTATATAGGCATATCGTGCTTGAGAGTATAGGAATATCATGATGCTTTCTGAATCTGGCGAGGCTGCCCTTTTGGATATGTGTTGATGACCTGGCAAGGTTGCTCCTGAATGTAGGTCACTCAAACTGGATGAGGTTGCTCAGGGCAGGGCTCAGTGATGGTGAGTATACAGTCACCTGGTGTCCCAGGTGCAGAGGTGCCTGACAGCTGAATGCCTGCATCCTGAATGCACTACCAGGCTCTTCTCCTCCCCCTGAAGGGGTTTAGCTGCCTGCAGCTGGGTGACCTTGGATCCAGCTGGTGTGTGAGAAAGACCTGTGAGAGATGTGAGAAATCTCACAGGAGTCTCATGAGACCCTTGGCTTTAGAGTCCAGCGTTCATTTAAGCCCAGGTCCTTGCCCTTGGTGCTTGCTTAATCTACTTTGCAGGTATTCCCGTGTCCTGCCTATCTGACTCTGCCTTTGCCTTGCTGATTTGACTTCCTGGTTTGACCTGCATGTCCCTCATCCCCAAAGACTTGTTCAGTGACCAGAGGAATGTTGTGTGAATATGGTTACCATCATCAGACCTGCTCTGCAGTTCTACTGTGGGACTGCACCCTCACCAGTCAGGTCACTGCCCTACATTGCCCTGCCATGACTGGCCTGCCTTCCCTTGCTGCCCTGTGAGCCCTGACAGCACAGGGGGTCAGAAAGTTCAGCTGAAACTGTCATAGTAATTGGACGGTGTCAAAACAATAGATGTGGTCTGTGGGATTACTTGCTGCTGAAAACAGCTTGAGAAACTGAAAACGGCTACAACCAGCAAAGTGTCTTTGTGTATCTCTATACAATTAGGACCTTGCATTCATTGCTTTCCTGGACCTTGCAGCTGACACCCAGACCCTTCTTACCCCATAGTTAGGCTACTGAGTACGCCATGTTTCAGAATTACACACCACAAATCTGAAGCTGCTTCAGAACATGGAAGCTCATTTGTTAAAGATTATGTGCTTGATACTGATACTCCTAGAGCTCTGCTGGCTTGTACTGCTTTTGAAGCCCTAGGTGGAAGATCAGGTGTTAAGTTAAGCCTACAGTGTCTTGGCAGGTAAGTGTTCTTTACCTGGAAGTAAGTAGTTGAAGCAACACATGGTGGGCTGAAGAGTTGTCTGTAAAAGACAAAGAGTCAGCTGGCAGGGTATTCTGGCTGAATACTCACCAGCCTTAGTTTATTTAATCTTAGTACAAAACTAAGGACTAATATTTATTTATGATTTTGCTAATTGGGAAAATAGATCTTTATTGTATTAAAAACCCTCAGCCTTACAGTCTGGAATATTTGTTTATTCAGGTAAGGAATGAAAACCAGTTACTGACCCTGATCTTGGATGGAGTACTGCTCATTGCCCAGGTACCAGTTAAAGCAGTGCACAACTTAAAATTCACTAACACATCTGAAATGAGAGTGTAGGCAGGACATCAGTTGTAGTAATTGCAATTTCTGTCTCCCATATCTCCATATACTACAAATAGGGAGGTAACTGGGGCCAAAGAACTGCTCTTACTACAGAATTTCAGTCACACAGTATTGTATTCTGCGCTGGGTGTTCATATTTGATATCATGTTGTATCTCGTCAATAAACATCACCAAGAGACTCTCCTGTCCTCATTGGTGATATTTGTGACCACTGCTTACAAGTCTTTTGGAGATGAAGGACTGGATTTGCTGATCAGATACAAACCTGAAAGTTACACAGGCCAGGGAAGCAAGGACAAAACAGAATACTTGGGACGGATGTATACAACATTTAATATTTCAAGGCTTTTAGCTTTGTGTTGGTTCTTATTTTCCCACAGTTAGTCACTGGATCACTTATCAAATTACCTTTTATTGGTAGTGGTCACACAGATAAGCAGGGATATATTAATTGTTAATATAGTTAATTTAGGCATGAATTTTTATATATGTTGATACTTCAAATGTATTAATCTGCTCTTTTTAATGCCAGAAGGCACAAGAAATACTAGGCACAGAAACCAATCCCAGCTTTCTGAAAATGCTTGATAACTGCAAGCTTTTTAATATAGTGCCCCCTGTCTCAGAAATTAGGTAGCCAAGTATGCAGCTGGCCTTTGGACTCTTATAGAACAAAACTGTACTGTAAGAGCTGCTCTGATCTCAGATATGTTTTCCAAATATGCTTTAGGTAGCTCAAAAATTCATTATTCATTGAAAGCAATTATAAGTTTTAGAAAAGTGATGAGAAACTCGAGTGTCATTTATGGCATTTGGAAAATTTAGGTCAAGGTAAGAAGGTAAGGAGTTACCTTCATCACATCCAGTTTTATTTTAGTCAAGGCTTTGTTTATTTGTTAATAGCAGAGGGCCAGCCGGCTCTGGTTTTACTTTCTGATAATACTTCAGTTTTCATTTGTGATGATGATGCAGCTCATCTAAAAGTATGTAAGTGTATAATGTGCTGCCTTCTGATAATCATCTTTGCCCCCTAGTTTAATTACCCATCAAATCCTTCAGTCCTTCTGATCTACA